TCTGATGGAAACCTAAACTACCGGCAGTTGATTTCAACCGTTGAAATTTGTTTTGTAAAATATATTTATATAAAGATATACATATATATTATGGTTTCAAAATGTTTGCAAAAGGTTTTAATTCCCAGGATCCATGTGAGTAGAGAGTGCAACACTGTACCTTGTAGCCGAGGGAGAGGTCTTCTCTTGTGGGGCAGTGTTTGATCATTATGGGTTGAGAGGTTAAGTGTAAGACCATTGAAGGTAATACCTGATGGGCTAATCTTGCATCTGCCCACAATGCTTGGGTTTTCATAAGGTCACTGGACCCAAGGACCATTTAGTCTAAATGTTGGGCCCATTGAGAGCCCATGGTGATGAACTCAGGAGTTCACTATATCCTACAATGAATTCGGCTAGGCCTTGTAACAAAGGTTGGGCTGAACCCATGTGGCTGATGTGTAGATCAATGTTTGGGTCCCACGCCATACAAGGATAGCCAACTGGGCAGTAGGTTAAGAGGGCTAGTGAGCATATAGGATTAATGGACCTAAAGCCCATTCGAACTAGCTTAATAAGATTAATTAAATAAGAGGTGATTCTAGGGTTTGGATCAACTGATAAGATAAGGAATTATCCCTATCCACTCAAAGAGTCCAAATTCAAATAAAGATTTGGATCATTTTTAATGAAAATATCTCTCATTTTATCAGTTTATTAATATTTATTTTACTAGTTTTTTGTTATTTTCTAATTTTTTCAGAAAGATTCCTTTTTAATGATTTTTTTATTAATTAACAAAATTGTTAATATTTTTCTCTTATCTTCCCTTATTTTTTGATGTTTTCTAGTTAATAAAATTATTTAGAGAAAATTTCTATTATTTGCTCTTTTATTTCATAATTGCATAATTGGGTTAAAGTGATCAGACCAAATTGGTCCAATTCAATACGAACTAGTAATTGTTAATATTTTTCATCTTGTTGGTGCATAGTAATTTTAGGCCCATAGTTCATTTCTTCTCTTGCTTTCTTCTTTTCCTAGAAAATTAGCAAAGTTGGGAAAACAACTTAATCCAAAACTAGTTCGCCACATTGAAGCTATAAGACAAAGGAGAGAATTCGTGTAGTAGTGAAATTTTTACATAATTTATAGAAAAAAATTAGTGAATTTTTAACATTTTCTTGTAAATATAATAAAAAATTTGAAGAAATTAATTTTTTAACAAAAACATGTTAATTAATAGTGTTTCTACTATTTACTAGTTGGGACCTATGTGATGCATATGCATATGCAATCTATTTGAGCCAAGTCGATCTAAGTCAGCTCAAGTATTATATTTTTGAGTTATGTTTAGTTGTTTTGACCAAAATCCAAATTGAAACCCTAGTGAGCAAAGTGGCTAATCTCGTGTAGGGATGTTAATGGGTCAAGTTAAATGGTAAATTTGACTTTGATTCACCCCTACATGGTTAGGTTAGGGTCAAGCTTATTAGGGTGTAGGGTCTATTAGTGTTTTGACCCATTGGGTCATATGTAATTCTAAGGGTCATTCACTTAGGCTGCATTTGGTTTAAAGGAAAAAAAGTAGGGAAAGGAAAGGAAAGGTAGAAAAACCCCTACCTTTCCTTTTCTCTCCTCACCTTTTCCTCCAAACCAAATATAGCCTTAAGACAACTCATATGTTTTTCAGTTTTGTGTATTTACTAAAACCAACCATATATTAATAAAAATCCAAGGGTTCTGAATGGTCATTTAAGTATACGAGGGTTCTGAATGGTCATTAAGAGGTCACATTGCCATTTTTATAAGGAAATGCAAAGGGTTATGAATGGTCATTAAGTATAGCAAATTGCATTCCATGAGGGGTGTTTTAGTAAATGCAAATTAGAGGGTACGTTTTAGTATACGAACACATGAAATTATACAAGATGTCTAAGTAAATGATCCTAATTTTAATTTTTCAAGTATTGGAATATGTTTACGGTTGTCATTAAGGGTGATCATTTCTAGCTTGGCCCAGTCTGCAATATATTCATATAGATATATTTTATTTATGCATAAATATATACATATGTTTTATGGTCAAACCCAATGTCCAATGACAAATAACATATTATATATAATATTTATTCTTATATAAATTATAACATATATTATGTGTCGTATAAAATATTGTCTATATTAAATATGATGTATTAAGTGGCATAGGCAATTGTCAGGTGGTAATTTCTTGTATAGTTGTATTAATAATCATATTAATACACCCTGGAGATGGATTGCTCATCTGATGGATGCCCTAACTTTGGAATGGTTCTTGGAGATTCGAATCCATTATATACAATGGTTGCTCCAATGGTTCTAGGAGATTCTAAAAAAATAAAAAGAGTTCTTTCCTAGATAAAGTGTTTCCATAGAAAGAGTTAGAAATCTGAAATAGGGGATAAAAATGTTGTTTTTAGACCTTGTTTTAAATTTGGTAAGTTACTTACTCGGGAAAATGCATTTATCCAGGTAATTGTTTCTTAGGAAAGATTTATCCAAGTAAGTGCATTTACACATGTTCTTTTATTTCCCATGTAAATAAGGTAATGACCATTTTATCCATAAAAATCCATTATTATAAGGAACATTTTTGTCCCTTTGAAGTGTTGGCAACTTTCTCCAAAGATGGAAAAATTATTTACCCACCAGGAAAATAAACTTTCCTTGATCTCCACATAAATCTGAAAAAAAAAAAAAACATGAAATTTTTTATTAATGGGAATCAAAATCCTATTAACCAACTTACCCCTCTCAAAATTTAGAAGACGCCGATTGCCAAAAAGTATTCACTTTGTGGAAAGACAGAAATTTCAAAAACCGACTGAAACTTCGGAATAAAATATAACAAATTGACAAACTTGTATGAAAAAGATCAGTAATTACTTTGCCCCTACTTCATCCAAAAATCATCACTAATTACGATTCATAATGGTATTGGATTGTTTTCTTCCTCTTTTATCAGCAATTAGAGTGGTGTTGGATTGTTGTTTCTAAATTCAGAATCGTGCCTCAAATTAATGGAGAAAAAATGGAGATACTGTCATGTCAATGGCTACTTCATGTAGGCATAGGTACATAGCACGTGCCTTTCGGCTAGTACACCTGTAACCCCATTTCCCTAGTCTCCCCCTCCCCCCAACTCTCTTCTTCTTCCTTTTATTCTCTTCCTCTTTCTTTCTCTCCCTCCACCTCTCCGTCATCGCTGCAACCTACCCAGAAGCAGAGCCACCGTCCCATTTACAACTTGATCGGTTAGTTTGTTACAACTTGTACAAATTTGTTGCAACAAACTAACTGATCCAATGTCGGATGCAAAGCAACCGAAATAAAACCACCGTCCTGCTTCAAAGATAAACAGGACGATGGGTATTGAGCAACTGTCTATTTGATCGCTTAGTTTGTTACAACTTGTACAAGTTTGTTGTAACAAACTAAATGATCAACTAGACGCTCGAAGCACGTCTGGTTTTCCATTTCAGAAAAATCTGCACATACAAAATGAATGAGTTGAAATCACTCCCACGGAGAGATCCAAACAATTTCTCGACAGTAATTCCTGGCAAGAGAGATCACTGTGACGCCCCGACACATACATAGTCATTCGAATATCTCCCTTACAAGTTGTATAACAAATCTCTCTTTCTCTCTCCCCCCTTTTCATCTTGGTTCTTTCGTACTTTCACTCTTTCCAAACTAATGTACCAGTGTTCGCACCATCTTTGCAAGGTTTTTCTCTTTATTCGCTCAAGTAGTTAATTATAGACAGGATCAGATTAGAAAGAGGTTTCGGTTGATTTATCTGAGCATTGTAGAAAGGCATTCATTGGGAAACCACTTTTCTCTGCTTTAGCTTCAACTGGTAAGAATCCCAAGAAATTAAAACTGTCCCTACTACAATATATTTAGATTTTCTTATGCTTTCAATTCTTCAGTGAAACACATTTTTTGTTTAGTTTTGATGTTTAATTGTTGCCCATTTTTTATATGTATTAGAGTAAAATAAACTATATATTAGCTATTAGAAACAGACACGTTTACATACGGCTCGAGCCAAACAGCCGGCTTATTCCACCAAACCCATATAGCCTTCTGAGAAATAACATAAACCCCAGTAGCATGAGATCTAGATTTATAAAAAAAAAGATACACAGATAAATGTAAAATATCAGAGTATGTAGATGGATAAGTTTATTGAAGGGAATTTAGATAAGTTTAATTTTGGGTTGTTGTGTTAAAGATGAGAATCAATTAGAGAGTAGAGATGGGATAAGAGTCACAGTTGAGTAAGGATTTTTCATTCTTGAATCCACGAATATTGATCGGGATCTTTGTATTGGTTCCTGAGTACACTTCCAGATACATGCATCTATATGGCAAAGCAAGCACATGTGCTAGTTATACCAGCCTCAGTACAGGGCCATGTCACGCCCCTCATGGAGTTGTCTCAGAGCCTGGCTATTCGTGGGATCAAGGTTACATTTGTTACTGAAGAATCAGTGAAAGAAAGAATAATGGCTGCATTTCCCAATAAGGGTAGCATGCACAGCCTCATTCATCTGGCTTCTATCCCGGATGGGGCGAAATTCGGAGATGACACCAAAGAAATTGATGCTGCCAGAAAAGTAATGCCGGGTTATTTAGAGAACTTGATTAGGAAGATCAATGAAGAATCAGACAACAACAACAAGATCAATTGTTTCATCGCATCAGCAGCATTGAAGTGGGCGATGGAAGTTGCTGAGAAGATGGGAATCAAGCGAGCAGTGTTTAGCACAACCTCGGTCGGAGTTCTAGCCTTGTTACTTCACATTCCTAAGCTTATTCAGGCTGGAATCATTAATGAAAGCGGTAAGATTTATGCTTCTAGCTAGTCCACTACAATAGTCCAGTTTTTGGAGTATCGAAAAATAATGTAACTTTGTTTACAGGAACTGCTTTGAAGAATGAGATGATTCAGTTGTCTCCAAACGCGCCAGCCATTAGCACAGCTGATTTGTTGTGGAATTGCACAGAGGATCCAACCATGCAAAGTATCATTTTCAAAGCAGCATTGGATACGAAAAATGTTGCCAAACTTTGTGACTGGATTCTTTGCAACTCATTTTACGAGCTGGAGCCATGGTTCTGTGACTTGATTCCGAACAGCCTTCCTGTAGGTCCACTGCTTTCAGACGTCATACCTGGGGGAACAATCGGAAGCCTCTGGCAGGAGGATTCCACCTGCATAAGCTGGCTAGACCAGCAACCTGCCCGCTCCGTCATTTATGTTGCCTTTGGAAGCTTTGCAACATTCAGCCAGAGCCAATTTGATGAACTAGCAGCTGGGCTCCAGCTTGCGTCTGAGCCATTCTTATGGGTTATTCGGTCAGATTTCATGAAGGGGTCTAACAGAAACCAAGATGAATTTAGGGATGGAGTAGCTCATTGTGGAAAGATAGTGAGTTGGGCTCCTCAACAAAAGGTTCTGGGTCACGCTTCTGTTGCCTGTTTCATAAGCCATTGTGGTTGGAACTCGATAATGGATGGTTTAAGCATGGGGGTTCCCTTTCTATGTTGGCCTCAGTTTGCCGATCAGTTCTTTAACAAACACTTGATTTGTGACGTTTGGAGGGTTGGTTTAGATTTGGAGGTAGACGAAAATAACATAGTATCAAGAGACGAAATCAAGAGTAAGGTGAAGAAATTGCTTGCTGATGAAAGTATAAAAGTAAAGGCTTCGGAGTTGAAAGAAATGTCTTGGAAGGCCGGCAACCAAGGTGGCACTTCTTTCAGTAACCTTGAAGACTTTGTTGAACAGATCAAGTGTTTGATGTAAGTTATGTGATTAGTACTTGGACGGTTGGACTCGATTTCAATTTTACAGTTTTACTCATTAAATGACCAGATCTGTTAAGGCAATCTGTAAACACGAGTAATTAAATACTCAATAAATGTCATGAGTAAGCAATCAATAAGGCAAAAATTTATATATGGTGCATTCTATATAGAAATTGCTGCAACATTAAGTAGGCTAATGGATCACCTACCATAGGGAGATCATTCACTACTAAAAAGGAAATTCTAGAACAGGAGAGTAGTTTATTCTTGTTTTTTGATATAATAAGTAGTTTGTTGTTTCCTCTTATGTTTCTCCTTTCCCAATATCATTTCCTTCCATTATTATTTGATTCTTTGTATATAAAGTCAGTGTAAGATGGCTGGTTGTATCAAGTGTACAATTCTTTTTTCTATTATTTTATCTTCTTTCTTCTACAACTCAACATATCTCAAATGTGAACGAATCAATGATAAAACAATATGACATCTTCTTTAATAGGAAACAAGGTGTTTAATTACATACAAATCAAGTTTAATTGTATGAATTGGTCCCCAGTTTGTTACACTATATATGTTAGTCATTCTTCCTACTTCCTACTTTCTAGTTCCTACTACTCAACCCAATAAAAAGATCAGTTCCAAGTCTTCAGGAAGATAGCTAAACGACATGGAGCTATTTGTTTCCTTTCACTTGCTTAAGATAAGTGAATGCTGATTCTACCTTTCTACCACACACAAGACAATTCACCCCTCTCACTTCAGTTGTTTTAGCAATTGGTGCAGTTCATAATCTTAAGAAAGCCTCTAATAGTGAATGAGAGGTGCATAAACACGGAGTACTCTTAAATTTCTTCTAGGGAAAATCTCTTAAAGTACCTCTAAGGCCCCGTTCGTTTACCGGTAGATAAGAGGGGGAAAGTTGGTCAATGGGTATTTCTTTTCCATTGACCAACTTTCCCCTGTTTAACATTAATTTCTTTTGCATTAATTATTAGGCCCCACGATAAAGAGAGCTTCATTTACCTAGGTAAAATTTATCCATTTTCTAGGTTGGTAAGTACCTTTTCCACTTGGGGTAAAAGATTATAAAAACATAATAGGACAAGTTTGCCCTTTTTAACATTAATTTCTTTATGGACACAAAGGTCATTATATTACTATTGGGGTCATGGCTGAGTTGGCTCAGAGAGACCCACGGCTGCCTATCACAGCTCGGCCATGTCGGCATAGCCCAGCCAAGCTATGTTATTGTCACGGTCCCCTGCCTAATCCCGCCAGCCATGTCAACTACACGTCACACGGATAAGCCCGCCTAGCGGATAAGGGTGGGAAGACAACTCCACCGAGGAGTAGGACTCTACCCCAATAACCTCGGCGGAGAGCTCTATCCCGATTATCCTGGAACCCTACTCCGACTAGGAGACGAACCCCCAGCTATAAAAAGGTGCTCTATGCTCAAGGTAAGGGATCTCTAAATTCTGACACCCATACTGCTGCCTAGCCCGATCGTTCACCATCCTCTCATTGACTTGAGCGTCGGAGTTATTACCCGGGGATAACTCCTTAGGCCTTTGACTTCCCTTGATCGCAAGTTACATAGCGTGACATCATCCTTGTAAGCTCAGCACCGCCCCAATCAGCAAGGATTATCTGGTTGCTCTCCTCAATTCATGCACTACCTTGGATTGAGCAGCATCACATTGGCGCCGTTTGTGGAAACATACAAAAAGCCTTCCCGAAAATTTCTCACCACGTAGCCTCAGAGCCGGTTAAGATGCCTAAAAACCAGTCTGAACGATCAGTAGGTTGTTCCCTATCTCGGGAGAACCAACATCATGGCTCCTCGCATCAAGAAGCCCTGCAGTCCTCGGCCGTAGTGGATCCAGCGCAATTTTGAGCCATGCAAGAGAAGGTTGACAAGATCTTCGAGTTCAGGCAGGCACTGGGGTCTGCCGCGCCACTTAACCGGGCCGTCCCCCCTCATGCCGCGATGCACACAAAGGATGATCCTCGGACTAAGGACCCCAAAGTGCGTCGGTCGGACATGAGGGGAGAGCGGTCCGAGCAAGAGAGGTGTGACACGACCCGAAGACTTGGCTCTACTGCCAGCTCCCGCGGGTAGGACTACCATAGCCAGACATGCCAGACAGCCCGGATCCCTGCCCAAGAAAGGCTCGGCAAAATGACGCCGTCCTTCGTGGTTTCTGTTGCAAAATTGAGCTCAGTCAAGGATCACCCTATGCAACCTAAGAAGGAGAACGCCACACACACTACGACCTCAAACAACAAAGATGCCGAGATCAAAGAGCTCTGGCAACGTTTGGAAGAGCTGGAACACTCAAACCCACAAGAGTGTGACGCCCACCATGGACCAACCTGCGCGGGCTACCGTGCATATCACGAAGGAGCCGCCCTTCATCCAGGACATCATGGACGAGATACCCTCTACTGGATGGCGAGCCCCCCAATTTGACAAGTATGACGGGAACTCCGATCCTTTTGACCATGTTGCGGCACTCAAAGCTCAAATGATGTTGCACAACGCCTTGGAGGGATTAATGTGTAAAGCCCTTGTAGCCACACTGCAAGGCCCAGCTTTGGCATGGTACTCCTCTCTGCCGCCGAGGTCCATAGCGTCATGGGATCAGCTGGAGACCCAGTTTCTGGCACAGTTTACCGCTAGCCAGAAACATTGGAAAACTTCAATCAATCTCATGTAGATCTGACAGAAGAAGGCTGAGTTCCTTAGAGATTACTTGGCGAGGATCAACAAGGAAGCACTCTAGGTCAGGGACTTAAACCAATTAGTCGCAGTGACGGCCATACAGCATGGGCTCCACCCTTCCCCGTTCAACTTCTCCATCTCCAAAAATCCTCCTCAAACATTGGCTGTGCTAATAAGCCACGTGCAGAAGTATATCAATGCTAAAGAGGCTTAGGCGTAGCTCAGAAACAAGGATGAGAAGCCCGACAAAATGAGGAGAGATATCGACGAGTAGAAGTCTGAGAGGTCGAACAAAGATCACAAGAGGTAGGATCGCCAGTTAGACCATAGACCTCAGACCCCTCCACAGACCTACCAGAATTTCACACCGCTCAATATTCCGCGGTCTGAAATTTTGATGCAAATCCGTGACCACAACTTTGTCAGGTGGCCCGAGAAGATGAAGATGCAAAGTAACAAGAGGAACTGAGACAAATACTACGAGTTCCACATGAACTATGTCCACGACACGGAGAACTGTTTCGACCTACACAACCATACTGAAGACCTGATTAGGCGCAGTTATCTCAACGGCTTCATAGACAGAAGTGAGAAGCCAACCCAAGAGGAATGAAGAACGGATAAAGCTCAATAACCGCCGCCCTGAGGCCCCCCAGCCAACGTCATCCACGTCATATCAGGAGGAGCCGCCACTGGAGGGGAAAGCAGCTTGGGTCGGAAAAGATATGCTCGGCTGTACGAGATCGACGACCGAGGTCACAAGAAGAGGCACGACACATCTATCACCTTCACTAACGATGACCTCCAAGGGGTCCAGACACCGCACGACGACACCTTGGTCATCATGGCCGAAGTATCCAACTTCGAGTTGCGGCGGATCCTAGTCGACACAGGAAGCTCTGCCTACGTACTGTTTGAAGATGCATTCAAAAGGCTCGGCATCGATAGGGAACAACCCACACCAGCCAGTACTCCCTTGATGGAATCTCGGGAGAGTACCTCCAGTCCACTGGGAGAATAACTCTTCCCCTCCTGATCGAAGACGGCGATGTCGTTGCGACATCCATGGTAAACTTCATCGTGGTGCGTTGCCCCTCCTCCTACAACGTGATCCTCGGCAAGCTGACCCTTAGTGCCTTGCAGGCCATAGTCTTGACATACCACCTCGCCATGAAATTTCCAACCAAATATGGCATAAGGGTGGCACGTGGAGACCAAAGAACAATGCGGCATTGCTATCAGCTCTCCTGCCGAGGACCACATCCAACCATGGAGACACTGATGGCGGAGGCCTATGACCTACGTGACGAGGTGAAGGCACAATGCGACCAACCCGTAGAAGACCTCGTCTAGGTCGCCCTCTTTGAAGAAGATATCCCGAAAAGACAGTCTAAATCGGCTCCCTACTAGACGACCACCTCCGAGAGGAACTTGTGCAACTACTGAGGAACAACGCCAACGTATTCGCTTGGTCAATAGCGGACATGCCCGGGATCGACCCCGAAGTTATCACACATCAGCTAAACATCAACTCCCATTACCAACTTGTAAAGCAGAAGAAGAGGAACTTCGCTACAGAGTGGTGGCAAGTGATCACCGATGAAGTACAGAAGTTGCTCGACGTCGGCTTCATTCGGGAAGTCAAGTACCCCGATTGGCTAGTCAACGTAGTAACGGTGAAGAAGGCCAATGGAAAGTAGAGAATCTGCATCGACTTCACCGACTTAAATAAGGCCTGCCCCAAAGACAGCTTCCCCCTACCAAGGATCGACCAACTCATCGACGCAACAGCAGGATATGAGCTGTTAAGCTTCATGGATGCCTTCTCAGGCTACAATCAAATCTGGATGAACCCGAACGACTAGGAGCGGATGACTTTTATCACCAACCGCGGCCTGTACTGCAACAAAGTAATGCCCTTCGGCCTCAAAAATGCTAGCGCCACTTATCAACGGCTTGTGAATGAGGTATTCAAAGAGTAGCTCAGCCGAAATGTAGAGGCATATGTCAACAATATGCTCATGAAGAGAAGAAAGGTTGAACATCACCTGGCCGACCTTCACAAAGTCTTTGACACACTCAAAAAATACAAGATGAAGTTAAACCCAACCAAGTGCGCTTTCGGGGTCGGCTCTGGAAAGTTCCTGGGGTTCATGGTAACATAGAGAGGAATCGAAGCAAATCCGGAGAAGATAAAGGCCATCCTTGACATGCCATCCCCCTAGACCCATAAAGAGGTGCAGCGGCTCACCGGGAGAATAGCTGCCCTTGGC